AAATTCAAAAGCAATATATTCCTTTTATTTTCTACATTTCTTTATGGAAATGTAGAACATCATCATTTCCAAGTCAAACTGAACAGAAATGCTTGGTAATTGATGTAAACAGAGCAATTATGATCATTCCTCCATCATTCAGAAAGTAAATAAAATATTGGACATATACATATGTTCTGCTAATCGAAAATGCAAAAACAAAAATAACCAAATAATCCTCTGGATTCAATGTGAAAGACTAATTTAGTTTATAATAAATACATGGAATCACATGGAAGATCTATCAGTGAAAGCCATAAAAGAATATTGTTCCAAATACCAATAAGTAAGTTATACCAAATAAGTAAGTTTATAATATCAGTACAGAGTGATGGCATTATAGGCCTTCAAGACAGATGACAGGGAAATCAAAAATAGCTGGCACAATGTCTCTTGCTCTCTTCAAAATAGTTGTCTATACTTCAAGTATGTTGAAAATAAACAATGCAATACAGAATAATTTGACTCTATATTAAGAATAATGACATTACTGTATTTCACAGCACGATTGTACGGAATCAGCAATGGATACCATAATGTCTCATTTTCTTCAAAGAAGCTGTTCATTTCATCATGAATTATATAATTGATTCTCATAAACTGTTTAGGAGAAGTTATATGCATGTAAAAATTGCTACATGTGTACCTATCCTTTCTATATTAGAGGAAAAAGCAAAAACAATAAAGCAAAACAAATTACTAGAAAAACATGAACCAAAATAGACAAATAAATAACAGTAGCAAAGAGCCCAAAACACTGAAAATATAGGTCTTCAAAACAACGATGTAGGAGCATAACTTGCTTTGTTAATTTACATAAAGATCAAGAATTCCTCAGATCACCATACCCTAACATTCACAAATGTTCCATTCCTAGGAATGTTCACTATTTTCTTTCAGAACTTACAGAATTTGTAGAACAATCACCTTAGCTATCCTGTGTGTTCCAGTCAACACCAGGGGAGGTCAGCAACGGGGGTGGGGGGTGTTTCAGCAACAGGGGCGGGGTCAACACCAGGAGAGCATGAGCACGGGGGGGGGGGGGGTCAGCTCCAGGGGGGATCATGACCAAGAAGGTGAAAAGTTGGAGTGGCATCAACCCCAGGGGAGTGTCAGCACTGGGGCAGTCAGCAAAAGGGTGTGAGTCAACACCAGCAGGAGCTTAGCACCAGGAAGGTGAAAAGTAGGGGTGGGGTCAACACTGGGTGGGGATCAGCACGAAGAGGGTGTCAACACCAGGGGCTGGTGAGCACCAGATAGATGAAAAGTAGGAGTGGGGTCAGCACCAGGTGCGGTCAGTACTGGGGGGGGGGGGTCAGTACTAGGGGTTGGTAAACAACAGGAAGGTGAAAAGTAGGATTAGGGTCAACACCAGGGGTTGGTCAGCACCAGGAAAGTGAAAAGTACTAGTGGGTCAAAATGAGAGGATGGTCAGAACCAGGGGGTCTCAGCACCGCGGAGGGGTTAACACCAGGGGGATCAGTAACAAGAAGGTGAAAAGTAGGAGGGGGGTCAACACCAGGTGGGGGTTCTGCACCACGGGGTGCAGAACCACGGGGGGTCAGCACAGGGGTGGTGTCTACACAGGGGGAGGAGGGGATCAGCACCAGGAGGGGTCAGCACCAGGGTGGGGTCAGCACTAGGGGGGTGTCAGCAAAAGAGGAGGGTCAGCAGCAGGGGAGGTTCAGCATCAGGAAATGAAAAGTAGAAGCAGGGTCAACACCAGGGAGGGGTCAGCACCAGGGGGGTTCAGCACTAGGAAGGTGAAATGTAACACTGGGGTCAACACTGCGGGGGGGGGGGGGTCAGCACCAGGTTAGGGGTCAAAACCAGGGTGGGTCACCACCAGAAAGGAGAATAGTAGGAGTGGGGTCAACAACAGGGGGGTTTCAGCATGGGGGGGGGGGTCAGTACCAGAGGGGGATCAGCAGCACGGTGGGCTCAGCACCAGGAAGATGAAAAGTAGGAGTGGGGTCAAGATCAAGGGGTGGTCAGCACTAGGGGGGCTCAGCACCAGAAAGTGAAAAGTAGGAGTGGGGACAACACTAAGGAGGGGTCAGCACCAGAGGAGGGTAAAAACAAGGGGGTCAATACCATGGGGCGGTCAGCATCAGGAAGGTGATAAGTAGGAGTGGGTTCAAGACCAGGTTGAGGGGGAGTCAGCACCAGGTCTTGTTCAGCCCCAGGGGGGTTCAGAAACAGGAAGGAGGAAAGTATGCATGGGGTCATCACTGGGGGTGTCAGCACTGTGTGGCCTCAGCATTGGGGTGGGTCAGCACCAGCGGTGGTCAACAACAGGAGGGGGTCAGCACCAGGAAGGTGAAAAGCACAGGGGTGGGGCAACAGCAGCAAGGGGTCAGGATCAGATGGGTATCAGCAGCAGGGGTGGTGAAGACCAGGGGGTGTCAGCACCAGTAGGGGGTGAGCACCAGGAGGAGTCAGCACGAAGAAGGTGAAAAGTATGAGCGGGCTCAACATCACAGGGGGTCAGCACCAGGAAGGTCAAAAGTAGGAATGGGGTCAAAACCTCGGGGGTGTCAGAAGCAGGGGGTGTCAAAACCAGGGGAGAGTCAGGACCAGGAAGGGGAAAAGTAGGACTGGGTTCAAAACCAGGAGTCCGGTCAGCACCAGGGGGCGGTGAACACCAGAGGGGGTGTCAGCACCAGGAAGTTGGAAAATAGGAGTAGGTTCAACACTAGGGGGAGATCAGCCCGGGGGGAGGGGGGCTGTTCAGCACCAGGGGGTTCAGCACCAGGGGCGGTTCAGCACCAGGAAAGTAAAAAGTAGGAGTGGGGTCAACACCAGGGTGGGGGTCAGCACGGGGGGGGGGGGGGATCAGCACCAGGAAGGTGAAAAGTAGAAGTTGGTTCAACACCAGGGGTTCGATCAGCACCAGGGGGGCCAGCACCAGGGGCTTCAGCATCGGGGGTGTCAGCACCAGGTAGGTGCAAAGTAGGAGTGGGATCAACACCAACGGGGGTCAGCCTCAGTGGGGGAGTCAACACCAGGTGGGGTCAGCACCAGAAAAGTGAAAAGTAGGAGTGGGGTGAACAGAAGAGAGGTGTCAGCACCGGGGGACAGTCAGCACAAGGGGGATCAGCACCAGGAAGGTGAAAAGTAGAAGGGGGATCAGCACCAGGAAGGTGAAAAGTAGATGGGGGGGTCAACACCAGGGAGGGGTCAGTTCCAGGAGGATGTCAGCACCAGGAAGGTGAAAAGGAGGAATGGGGTCAACACCAGGGGATTGTCAGAACGAGGGTGGGGGTCAACACCAGCAGGGGTCAGCACGAGGCAGGTAAAAAGTAGGATGGGGGAGGGGGTGGGAGGGGTCAACACCAGGGGTACTGACCCCCCTCTGGGGCTGAGCCCCCTTCTGGTGCTGACCCCCCCTGGTGTTGACCCCACGCCTACTTTTCACATTCCTGGTACTGATCCCCCCAGGTGCTGACCGCCCCCGCCCCAGGTTCTCACACCCCTCTGCTGTTCACCCCACTCCTGGTTTTCACTTTTCTGGTGCTGATCCACCCTGGTGTTGACCTGGTCTTGAGCGGACTCCTACTTTTCACCTTCCTGGTGCTGACACCGCCCTGGTTCTGCCCTCCCCCCCTCCACCCCGTGCTGACCAACCCTGTTGACCCCACTCCTACTTTGCACTTTCTGGTGCTGACCCCCTCTAGTGCTGAAACCCCCCCCCCCGTGCTGACCACCCCTGGTTTTGACCTCACTCCTACTTTTCACCTTCCTGTTTCTGACCCCACCCTGGTGTTGACCTCCCTGGTGTTTACCCCCCCCCATGTTGACCCCACTCCTACTTTTCACTTTCATGGTGCTCACTCTCCCCTGGTGTCGACCCCCCCATGCTGACTCCCATCCGGTGTTGACCCCCCCTGCTGGTGACCCCCGGGTGTTGAACCCGTGTTGCTGACACACACACACACACACACACACACCCTTGTTGACACCATGCCTACTTTTCAACTTCCTGGCACTGACCACCCCTGGTGGTGATCTCCCCCTCCCATGCTGACCCCCCTCCTGCTTCTCAACTTCCTGGTGATGACCCCCCCCCCGGTGCTGCCCACCACCCTGGAGCTGCCCCCCCCTTGTACTGACCCCCTTCCTGCCTCCCCTCTTCCTGTTGCTCCCCCACCCCGTGCGTACCCCCCCTTGCGGCTCCCCTGGTTCTGACACCCCTCCTGCCTTTTACTTTCCTTGTGCTGCCCCCTCCCTGCTGCTGAACCCCCGCTGGTGCTGACCTCCACCTGGTGCTGCAACCCCCCTGGTGCTGCCCTGCCTCCTGGTGCTGACCCCCCCTCCCGCCCCAGGTGCTGACCAACCTCCTGCCTCTCACCTTCCTGGTGCTGACTCCCCCCAGGCCCCCGCCTGGTGCTGCTCCCCCCCCCGTGCTGGCCCCTTGGTGCTGATCCCCCCCCCTCGTGCTGACCCCCCCTCCTGCTTCGCACCTTCTTGGTGCTAACCCCCTTCCTCCCCCTCCCTCGTGCTGAACCTCCCTGTTGTTTCCACACCCTGGTGCTGCCCCTCTCCTGGTGCTGATCCCCCTTCTGCTTCTGAGCCCTGTTTCTGGGCGCCCTCCTCCCTTCTATGCCCCTCCCCACTACGCGACAGGTCCTTCCCAAAAGAAATGTGTCGCATGCTGTGTGTCTGGGATCTACTTCTCTGATTGTGAATTGCAGAGAAATTCCACCTCGGGTGGTTTTGCAGTGGCGCCCTCTCGTGGCCACAGGATGCAATAGGCGGCGGCCTCAGAGCTCTGAGGCAGGAAATGCCAGCCTCCAAAGCCTGTGGCACCTTTGGACCAGAGACTCTAATGGCGATCGGTTGGGCACTCTCATGGTCCAAGGGAGTCGTGAGCATAGATAGATAGATAGATAGATAGATAGATAGATAGATAGATAGATAGATAGATAGATAGATACACACATACATACATACATACATACCTAGAATGCACAGGCTTGCTGGCTTGCTCGCTAGCCTCGAGATTCCTCTATGGAGTGCACAGGCAGGCCGCCGAGCCCCAAGGCCGGTCGGTGAAGGGCCAAGCAGAGCGAGCGGTGCCAGGTTTCTGCGGGTCGAGAAGAGAGAGAGAGAGGGAGAGAGCCCGATGCCTGCCTAGAGTGAGTGAGTGACCTGAGCGTGGGGTGGGTGCTTAGCCACGGCACTGAGACCGAACGGCGTCCTTTCAGTTTCTGGAGATAGAGGGAGGCAGGGAGGGAGCCGGTGCTGGCCAGTAAAGTGAGGGACCCGACTGTGGGGGGCTTAGGCACCTGAGCAAGGGCACCAAGGAGACAGAGGAAGACAGATATGTTGGGAGACGGAGAGGCACAGAGATACAGCAAGACGCAGAAAAAGATACAGAGACAGAGAGACACGGAGGCTCATTGAAGAAAATGAGAGAGAGAGTCAAAAAAGAACAAGAAGGGATGGGACGTAGAGTGTGGGGTGGGTATGGAATTGCAGAGCTCTCGCTCGCCGGCCAGAAGGGCCACACCTACAGACAGCTAAGCCAGTTTGCCAGTGCTCAGTCAGCGACAGGCTCGCCCTGGTGTGTGGCCACAGAGTGACTGCGTGAGCTAGAGATGTGGGAGGAGAGAGGAGACGGAAGAGAAGAGCGAAGAGAGAAAGAGAGAGACAGACAGACAGACGGACGGACAAAAAGAAAAGACGAAAACAGAAGAAACTGGCCCCTGAAAGATCTGAGAAGCAAAAAGATAATGCAGGGAATCAGACCTATGACCACCCCTTCGGCCCAAGTGAGCTGAATGTCTAACCAGGCTGTGCACACATAGAGTGAGTGTTGTAAGAGAGATAAGATATGGTCACTGAGAGACCTCAGCAGTCCAAAGGTTATGCAAGGTGGGAAGCTGGCCTCTTTGTTTCCTCTCTCATTCACGTATTTATTGATTTGTTAGTTTGTTCCTTCGTTCCTTGGTTCATTCGTTCTCTAGCCGCCTCTTCCTTCGCCCCAGCCCCCGATTCTAGGTCCCTGACGCCCCAGCGAACGCATGCCCCTCGACTCTCTCTTGGGTGGGCAGGACGTATTTGTCGCGGGCCTACCACTAAAATCCGTCTTTGCTGCGGTCGGGATGCACTGCTGTCTGTCTGTCCCGCCTTAGCGGGGGCGGGCGCAGCGTTCCTTGACTTCCTTCTTCCGGGTGCGCACGCGCTCGTTGCAATTCTTGGGTCGTAAGGAGAGAGACAAAAAAAAAGAAAGCTTGCTTTAGTATGTGCCGTGGAACCGGCCTCTACCTTTCCAGTATCTGGAACTTGTGAGTGTGATGGGGGCGGGCGGGCCCACAGCGAGAGCTGGACGGAGCCCAGGTGGTGTGGTCGGCCTCGGTCCCTGCACACGGACGCCCGCGAATCTGGCTAGCGCTCCAGCTCTGTGGAGGGCCGGCGCAGGGGTGCTCCGCGGGCCGCGGGAAGGAGAGCCCCGGTGCGGGGCAGCCACGGCTCCCCGGTGCGCGTGTGGGTGGGGTCAGGCAGCCTGGCGGTGGCGATGCGCGTGGTGGGCGTGATGGGAGGAGGTAGCCCGCGGAGTCGGTCAGCGCCTGAAGCCCCCTTCCCTTCCTTGGCTGGGAGAGTGGTTTGGCTGCCAGGAGGCAGGCCACCGTTAGCCCGATGGGATGCCGTGAGTGATTTTTGTGGTTTTTATGGCTCGATCGCTCCTCCAGGAGAGTCAGGCTTCATGGCCGAACCCTCTGCTCTCAAGTTTGAAGTATCTCCCTGCTTAGCTAGGGCGAGCGTGAGACTCTAGGTGGGACGTGGTGTGGGTGGGTAGCTTGTGTTTGTGTGTGTATGTATGGGAGAAAGAGATACATAGAGAGGACAGACAGAGAGATTGGTTCTTTGTGGGCCCCCTTTATGTACCTAATAACCAAGTTATTTTTTGGTGTCATGATTTGTTTGGGAGGGTGTTTGGGAGGGGTCTCATTCCGTCCTTTATTGATTGGCTCCCTTGTCTTGTTCCTCTGGCAGTGCGCTCATCCACCCACATGTGGACTCGGCTTTATAGTGTACCGTCAGGCGGCGAGTGGCCTGCGGCGTCTTCTGTGTATAACGGGATGAATGTCCTGGCAAATCCGGACTAGCCACTTAGCAGCGGGTAGACAGACAACCCTTTGCATTGCACTAAGGGGTTGAGAGAGATGCATGCTGGCGGGTGGGCTCTTTATCTAGCTGGATGACCCGTTTCTCTCCCTCTCTTGGTCCAAAGCCATGGCCAGCCCAGCCCAGCGCAGCCCAGCCAGGTGTCCTTGGTCTGTACCTTATATAATAGCCCTGCCCCTGCAGTAGGTAGCCCTGCCTGCCTGCCTGAGGGAGTGTGCCTGTCAGGCTTGTGTTTGTTTGTTTGTTTGTTTGTTTGTTTCCCACAGTAATGCAGCAGCTGCTGGGTGGGCAGTAGAGAGAATGAGCCATCCATCGGTTGTTGGATGGCTGCTGTCCTCAGCCAGCCTCAGGGAGGGGCTTCTCACCCACCCGGATGGGTGGCATGTGAAGAGATTGTAGACCATGGATGGGTGAGGGAGGGGTGCACCTTTCCAGTCATCCAGCCAGCCAGCTAGCTAGCCAGTTAATTAATGTTGTGGACACTTAAGCTATTTGTCTAGATGGGTGGTCTCTGTGTCAGGCCTGCCTCTGAGGTCTTGCTGCCTGAGATGTGCTCGCTCGTTCGCTCACTCGCTGGGTCACACTAAATAAGGCATGTGTGTACTTAGGTGAACGTTGTTGATTTTGTTTTACCAGGGATTGGATGCATCAGAGTGCCAAAGCTGTGTCTATTTCTATGTCTCTGGACCTCCGTTCCTGACTTCTGAGGTTTTGAGTCAGAGTTCTCCTCTGGAGAGACTGGATTTGAAAAGGAAGGATGGACGAGAATGAGAGGTGGGGCATCTCATCATTTAATTAATTTATTTCCTCATTTGTCCAGTTATTTAATGATTAATCAATTTTATTTCAAGGCAGTAATGTTTTAGACAGATTGGGTTACATACATGAGATATTGAGATCGGAAAATAAAAATAAATTTTAATAAAGCCAAGCCAAGTCATGAAAATGACAGATGAGAGAAAAAAAAAAAGAAGGGGTAGGTGAGCAGACAGTAAGTATGGTGGCAAGAAGGCAGATAGCCAGAAAAGACTGGGCGGGCAGCAGGAAAGAGGCTGTGAGTGAGTGAGGAGCGAGAGGTAGCCAGGAGGAAAGAGGGAGCGAGGGAGGAAGGAAAGCCCCAAGTGGCTCGAGGTGGGTGGCCAGAAACGGTCAAAGGTGGCCCAAAGTGAACAGCCAGCAGCCAAAAGCAACCAGAGGCTGGACCCTGCCTGCCTGTCTAGCTGGCTGCATCCTGAAGCCTGAATCATCTCACATACCAGAAACAAGAATGGTGAAGATGGATAGATGGGTGAAACCTCTCAGAAAACAGACAGGCAGACAGACAGACAGACAGACAAGCAAACCAAAAAATAAATAAATAAAACATAATAATAGTAAAAATAAAAGACACCTGAGGCAGCAGGATTGTTTCGTTTTATTTTTTAAATTTTCCTAGTCTCAGTCATAAAAGTCACCAGCTTATGTGTATAATAATCCCAGCACTCGGGAGGCTAGGCTGGGCTGAGGCAGGAGAGCTATTTTTTATTTTTTGTTGTTTTTTCCTAATTTCAGTCATAAAAGACACCAGCCCATGCCTTGTAGCCTTGTAATCCCAGCACCCGGGAGGCTAGGCAAGGCTAGGCGGGAGGACGTTGGGAGTTGGAGACCACCCTCTCCCCCACGCCCCCCTTCCATTCTTTTCCCCGGTGGTGGTGTGACTAGGATTTGGGGCTGGGGGCCCCCAGGGTTGCTGTCCAACTGCGGGTCCAGCATCAGTATGAGGCGAAAAGGAGGAGGGAGAAGAATGAAAGTAGGCGAAAGCCAGGGTTTAAACAGCAGCCAGCCACCACCATGGTGGTCCGAACAAAGCCAAAAACAGCAGAGAGCAGGCAGAGAGAGAGCGAGCACGTGTGTGCGAGCACAAGCGGAGAGCAGGGAGAAAGGTAGAAGTGGTCAAAGAATGAATGGGATGAAGGGACTGATGAATCAGAGACAGTGCTGGTTCTTTTTTACTGGTTCTTTCGTTCGTACATTCGTTCGTTTGGAGTGTGCCTTTCTTGGTTCCTTCACTTCCTTTCATCTTTATGGGAGAAAAGCAGATGGCTGCCCTTGAGCCTGGTGGGTGGATAGGTGAGCCTAAAAAGCACGAAAGAAAAGCATGAAGGAAGGGCCCTGACCTTTGTGGCAGAGGTAGAGGCGGCAAGAGGCTGGCGAGAGGGCAGGCGGCCCAGAATGTGACCCCATCACCATACACCACACCATGGGGGGCGACCTGGCTGGGTGACCCTCACCTCGCTATGCGGTGCGGTTTGGTGCAGTGGATGACTGTGGTCCCCTTCATCTCCTCTTCCCCTCACTCATCATCTTGGAGTTCTGGAATGCAGGCAGACAGGCAGCTGGGAGGACATGCCTGGAGAGCCGGGAGCCAGGAGAGCCGAGCTGGGAAAGCTGGGTCCCAGGAACCTGGAGGGAGGGAGGGAAAGAGCAAGGAGTGAGCTGGGGAGGGCAAGGAGGTGGCCCAGAAAGCAACCCCACTACCATACACCACACCACGGAGGGCAGGCGGACAGCCCAGCCCTTGAAACATATAGCCCTTTCACAAACCATTGTTATACACTATTATAATTGTTATACACTATTAGTCAATTCTGATTTTAAAAGTGACAATGCATGTGCCAAAATCTATTAGCACATTAAGTATATTGAGAAATTAATGGTCAAAGAGAGTATTCCTTTTCGTTTTCTACAAACCAAAGAAATTTAATTATAGTGCTGCTTTTTCCACTTTCAACATAGCTATAAAAACTACTCAAATACTTATATGCATATTTCATTTCCTTTAATTAAATGCACCCCAGTGTCGTAATTTGTACATAAAGCATTATGATAAATGAAGTAATTTTGGAACTTTAAACCAAATTGTTAAGGAAAATTTTACAGGAATAAATTTTGCTTCAAGCTCAATTAATTTCATAGTAATGAACGAAAAATTCAGTTAGTGTCTGAATTTAAAAATGGCAGTTGCATGAAGACTGACAGGTTTTTATCACAAAGCATTCCTTTCCTTGAATAAGACAATAATAACTAAAATCTGCAAGAGTATCAAAACATGTTTTACTTTGGAATAGTACTTAGGAGATACAACTAAATTGTCTTATTAGAATATGATAAATTAAACACTACTTAACTTATAAATTATGTTTCTATAAAGCATGCAATAGTAGGGTGTGGCAAGCATTGAATATAGTAGAGAAGAAACAGTGTAGATCCTCAAAGATGAAGAACGTACTGGAAGGTAACTTTAAAGTTATCCAGTATCCAGGCAAGTACTAACGCATTAGATGCACATTCAGGTAAAACTCAGTGACCATTTGTGCTTTAAAATAATTTGCTCAAACCCCCTATTCGTTTCATTCTTATCATGCAGTATTTCAGTTATTTATAAAAACTTCTAAGTTTTTTTTGTAATTATGCAAAATGCAATACTGATTAGGGAGTATCGTTGTAATAGGGTACATGTGAACTGCTGTCATCTTTTTGAAAATGTACTTATGCTTCCTTTTTGAAAAACTGACTTGATTTTAAATCTAATCTTTTTAAACATTTCTTCAGCCATGTGCTTTAAAGGCAATTTTGAACACTGTAAGAATGTATCATTCAGAGCATACAGCAGAGTTTGGAGACACCTGCCCGTGATCCCAACAACATTCCAGGGGTTTGAAGGAGGAGGATTGCAAGTTCCCTTCTCACCCAGAGAAATTAGGTAATTTAGTGAGACTCTCTTTCAAAATAAAAATCAAAAGTTCTGGAGATGTAGCCCAATGGAAAGGCCCTAGATCAGTCTCCTGGGGTGAGGTGGGGGGCAGGGAACAACAAAAGAGAACAAAACTTCGAATGTCTTATCTGCTTAGTATCCCAATTCCTACAAATTCTTGTTCTGAAACTTAACATCAGCTGGTTTATGATGCAATTATAGAACACTATATAAAGGCCAAAAGACAGGGGGTCTAATTTACCCCACCATCTTTGAACATGAAGTCTACATTGTACATAATAATGCTTTGCAAATCTGTGATACTCAGAAAAAGTCACATGCACATAGGTTTTCTGCAGTAAGTTCATGTGCCAGTAACTGAAGGTGAAACACATGCTATAGAGTAGGGAAAAGAGCATCTTTGGAGAGACTAATAAACTAATTAAGTCTTTGCTTACACATAAGAGAAGCGCATTTTTTTCTATCCTAGTTAACAAAATAAAAAGGCACAAGTGTTCATGCAAAGATGACAAGGTCTGTCATTATTCATTTTTCTTGTCGTGACCTATACTTAAACTCTTTCCTTTCATTGCTAAAATCACATATTTGTGGACTACTGGGTAACATAAATAATGAATTGTGCTTGCTTCATTCTATTTTATTTTCTTTCAGTATGAAACTCTATTCAACACCCTAGGTAATATGTACTGATACACCTTAAGCTTCACCTTTTCTATATTTTGTTATGCACATTCATTCAATTGTTAAGTCCAGGAAGTATTTTTTTAATTCCAGAAATTGTATTTTTAGTTCTATGACTTGTATTCATTCTCCTCTCCAATGAGAATGTTACATACTATAAGCATATTTTCTATATTTTGTAAAACATGTAAAAGAATATGAGTACATATTTTTTTCCTTCGAGCACAGTCACAGAATATCTTTTAAAACACTGTTACAAGTGATTTATTTATTTCAGGGTGAAAATTCTGTTGATTTTCTTCTTGTGTGTATGACAGATAATTTTGAATTACATTGTGGGAATTATCAATGTCAGATACAAAGGTTCTAAGTTTTGTATTTTTGTCTAAGTATTATTTTCCTTGCTTTTATTTTAGTATTAGTGGTAAAACCCAGGGCTACCGTACCACTGAGCTATATCCCAAACCCTTTTTAGTCTTATTTTTGAAATGGGTTTAGCTAACTTAATCACACTGGTCTTGACTTTGTAACCCACCTACCTCAGCCTCCTAAGTGCTCTTATTGGGATTACAAGTGTGTGCCATCTTTCTGGGTTTATTTCTTTTATTACAGTAAAACTTTATTTTTGATGAGATTCAGTTACCAGCTCTTTTCCTAGGTTAATGTAACTGTGTCCAGGTAATAGCAGAATTCAAGGTAAAAGGATAAACAGTGAGGTAATCCCTTCAATAAATTTTGCAACTGTTTTAAAACTACTGTCATGCAGGTATTGATAAGGTTGGAAAAGTGGAGGGAATTCCTACCTCTGATTTGAGGTGGAGTATGAGGTAAAGATTAATAGAAGACAATGGCATTTAAATGAGGCTTTGTTCCTTTTACAAATTAAAATGCAAGAAGTCAATATTTTAACATTCAGACTGAAAAATTATTTATCCTTTTTATAGAGTACATATGTTTCTACATTTCTCGTATAACGCTTGCAGTAGACGTAAAGTGTCAAGATGTGTGAAACTTGTCTGCTGTAGACTGTGCAATGGGAAGAGCCATTGAAGAGTTCATTGAATAGTGCCATGATAAACTCTATTAGGAAGAGGATAAGTGTCATTCTGGTTACAGGGTGAAGAATGAATGTGAGAATGGAAATTGTTAAGGAAGACCATCTGCTGCTCTAGAAGATAATGACAGGAAGCTGAATCATCTCAATGATTCTGAAACCTGTGAAGGCATTGGAAAATCATAGCTTTTGGAACAAGAGTAGACTATGATGAGTGACTACACATCAGCCAAATAATATTTTGTAGTTACTTTAGATCAGTAGAAGAAACAAACTTATAAAATGGAGAAATCATTGGCTTGCTTTGGTCATTATTGAGTTTGTTGTATGTACTGTCCATTAGTATTACTTTCTGCCTAGATCAGGGCTAAGTAGAAAAAAATAACTTGATTTTTTAAAAAAAATTTAGTAAATGCAAGTTTCATCTTTCTACCTTGTCCTAATTTCTCAAGTGTTTCTTAACTTCTGTTAAATAGGGATTTAGCTCCCTTAAAATCATTGAGAAAGACTGGAAATCCTGGAAATTTAAAGAAATATGTGTATTTAGAATCTTATTTTTTTTGATTCATCAATTATAATTCAGAAAATTTCTATATAATCTGCACACATTTCACGCCTCCCTGTTGAACTAACAGATAAATTTTTTCTCATTTTATAGTATTCCTTAAACCACTTTGTTGTCCAACAGCCACTAGTTTTCTTAAACCCAAAAGTATTACTCGCCTACTCATTGAAGGTAATGGAAGTAGATAAATGAGTAGGTAACTGAAACCTACTCATTATGGTATCACAGTGAGGTGATTTAACTTCCACTCCATCCTGGGAATTTCTGAGACTCCTCATTGGTGCCACTTGTTACCAGGTAGGTTAAAGAGCCATGTTTCTTGCTCTCCAGTGTGTCACATTTTTGCTAAGATCAAAGATTTGTTGTGATATTTCATATTTTTCTTAACTGTTGGTTAATAATAATCAAGAAACTTCCTGAGAATATAAAATGACAATCCATGTGAAATATTTTGTCATATTCATTCCTTTGAATAAATAAAGTAGGGGCTGGGATGCAGTTCAGTGGCAGAGTACCTGGCTGGCAAGCTCAAGGTCGTGAGGTTGGTGCCTAGTAAGTAAATAAATGAAGTAAGTAAGTAAGTAACATACAATCTTTCAGGATCCCTTTGTGATAGAATTTCATTGTTACCTAGGAAGGAGAAATATCACCTGATTCATTGTAATTCTGACTTACCTTAATAATTTTGCACATCTCATGTCTAAAAAATGTTCACTACCTGAAATTTTTGTCTTGCATCTTTCAGTTTAATACTCTCTCCAGTAATTGAAATAACTGATTTTAAAAGTGAAATAAAAATGACTAGAAAATTAAAAATGTAAATTTCTTCCAAAAACACTTGAATGGCCCAGTATAGCTACGTAGTATTATAAATATGATTCAAGGAATGACAACAATTATAGTATGAATCCCAGTATGCAAGAGTTAATGTTCAGTAAACCAAATAAATGACTATAATTTTAAAAGTGAGATTTTCCTAATAATGGATTGATGCAATTTTGAGGAAAAATACAGAGTAATGTATAGTAAAAATCCAAATTTTTACTAGCATCAGTGGATATTACTTTATTTACTTTTATGAATAAAGAAACTGTCTCTACAGTTTGCAGATATTAAAGTACTTTACATTAAATATGAGGACTACATTAAAGATGTCTCACGTTTTGGTTTGAGCTTAACATTTTTAGCATTTGCTTCCTCACATGCTATGCAAATATAATAATCATCATTTTACTAAAGGGTTCATCATGTTTCTATATGATGAAAATGAGATATGATAGCATGCAACATTAATATGAAGTGGTAAGAAAATTACTCACTTGGTGCATTTTTTTATATTAGGACATGTGAAAATTTTATATATTTTTTTTTTTTTGCAAAACTTTCCTTACTTGAGTACATAAGAAGAAATAGAAGTTACTGTTTTAGCTCTTCTGAAAATGTCTTCTCCCTAGAGACCAAAATGATAAGACTCTAGGGCTAAATAGTATTTATAGAATCAAATAAAAAACCAATCTTGGTTAAAAATCTGAATCTATTGCTTCACAGTAATTGAAGTATAGGAAAAAGACATGATTCTTCCTGTGAATAATAAAATTACACATTAACTATCTGATGTTCACTGCTATGTTTTCCTCTCAGTTTTATAAAGTGTATTCCATTCTTAGAGATCTTTTTTAAAAAAGAGAAAGTTGGATGTATTTGTTGCTGGGGAAATACAGGCAGAATTATAAGTCACATAGCAGTGCTTTTGACCAAAGGTGAGGTTCAACTTCATTTCTTGCAATTTTTAGAGCTGTTTAGAGACAAACCTATAATCATTTCTTTGATGTATCTATTCATTAGCTTTTCACTTACCATGCTCCAGCTGCCCTATTAAAGAACATTTGGCACCAAATAGGAACTTTAAAACTATGGACAATAAATAAAAAATAAAAATAAAAGCTGTGAAAATCCGAATAGTAGTATTTTTCCTAATGCCATGAAAATGGGAGTTTAATTTTTGGACAAGTTGTTTTCTACAAGGAACTAGTCTTTAACTGTTTTCTTATAGCATATTTTATTTTAACACTTCCTTGAGCCTTTTTATTACTACATGAAACAAACAGGCCATCTTCAAGCTCTTTGCCCTACTGAGAACTGTGAAGAGAGGTAAAGCAGTGTACTGGTTTGTTTTGTTTTGTTTTCTCCTGGGACGAGTGTATTCCTGAAATCAGTTGGAGGTTAGTAGCTTCCATCTTGTATGACGGTTAATAGAGAGTCTCTTCTGAATGAGACAGTCATTCAGACATGAAATTAAAGAGACACTGTCATGGGGAGCTGTGAGGATCTCTCAGTCTTCAGATGAAAGAATGAGACTGAAGTCTGGAAATCCTTGCTGTCTCATACACAAGCATCTTCAGTTGTAGCCAACTCCAGCCACCAAATGGGAACAGTAAAACAAACACAAGCATGGCAAGTGTGCAACTACTAGTGCATGGAGGTTACTAGAGAACTGGAAGCATTTAACAGCACATTTACTGGTATAAAATAACCAAATTAGCATCTTTTCTCCCATTTACCTATTTTTTTTCTGTAAAATCCAGATATATGAATTTTAAGAAGTTTCTAACTATATGCCTCCCTTATGAAACACAAACAAGCTACATCTGTTTTGGGGGTTTTCCATTTTGAAGACTTCATTATAATCATAAATATTCCTTTACTTTCTTCTAAAATATCAGGGCCAGACAGAAAGAAGCATGGTCTTGGATTCTAAGAAGACTAGACCTGAGATCCAGGTTTCTTGTCCTGGAAATTCAGATAATGTGTTTGATTTTTTAAATATATATATATTAAATGAAATGTATATTCAATGCTTCAGGTTGACTGAGGGGAATTTAGGAGAAGCCTCTGGCATGGCCTATCCTATAATAGACTTTGTCAAATGTGGGATTTATATATTACATTTTCCTCCACAGATTTAATACTAATAAAGAAAAGACTATCTTAGATTTGTTCCCTGTCTCCCTTGATCCTCTCATTTAAAAGTGTCCCCTGCCATCTTGGACACACTATTTCGTCTTCTGCACTTATTTACCCAGCAGATTTTATTCCACTGATTTTAACTTAAAGTAATAGATTAACAACCATCTATAGGTCAGTGTTTCCTAAAACCAGGTCTCCAGCCCTGACTATTCTATTCTATATTCTATAGAAGTTGTCAAAACTCTGCTGCCCCTATTTCATTCATGTGATTTATCATCGTTCTCCTAGTTTTGCTTATTCCTCTAGCCATTCTCACAGCTGTGAGCCTTTCTCTGGTGGCTCCAAAGGCTATGTATAATTTCATCTCCTCTCCTCTCTAGTTTACTTAATGGACAGGACCATTTCACATGATAAATGACCCTCAACCTATTCCTATATTTTGTTCTCCCTCTCCAACTGGAATCTTAATTATCTACTGCCTGACCTACTTTATTTGTGTGCCTTTGCCTAATCCCTTTGCCTAAAAACTTCCAAAATACATACATTGAACACAATCAGACTAAAATATTAAGAAATATGACTCTGTAATTCTCATTTCTCAAACTATAAAATAAATTTTCAACAAATGAGAAACCAAAAATAATTTAGAATGTTTCATCAAAGAAATAAATGTTGTTTGAGGTAAATATGTGTAGCCTAATTTAAATATTATGCTGTTTATAATGCTGATTAGGCATAATTTATTGAGCACCATTTATATGTTTTTATCTTACTTTATTTTTATTATTTTTTGTACCAGGGATCAAACTCACAACCTCATGCTTGCCAAGCAGGCACTTGTGCCACTGAGCTAAATCCCCAGCCATAATATATGGGGTTTGTTTTGTTTTGTTTTGTTTTAAGGAAGGAAAGTTTATTTAGTTCCCGGTTTGTGGAGGTTTTAGCCCTTAATCAACTGACTCCAAGGCAGGATGGCATGGCATGGGGGCAAGACTTAAAGCTGCAGAAGGCAGCAAAAGAAGCGAGAGCACAAAGGGAGTGGAAAACAAGGCCTCTTTCCCTCCCTTATATTGTAACCAGGTTACCCCACCCCCGGGTGGGTGTAGCACTCACACTGCCTCCTTACCCTCCTCTTGTACATGCTCAGGATGTTTATAAATTAAGGACTCCTTCTGAGCCTCTTACTTAAACTTCTAAAATTCTCAAGTTGACACACTATATCATCTATAACAGATGGGAAAAATTGCAGGGAGAGAGGAGCACAGGGCCAACGACAGAGTTTTTGAGATATATTTGGGGAAAAGAATCAAGAAAAGTTAGCCAAGAAAGGGTATGAATGGGAAGGCAACTGTTTTTACAGGAGTCTTGTGCTGAGTGATAATAAGAAGCTTACTGACTTTTTCAGACCCCATATTCCAAGTTAAATTGGAGTACTAACACTGTGTTGCAGAATGGTGAGAGGATTACATGTTCCAGCCAGTTTGAGCCACCAGTGGTACAAACATGACTGTCCTCTCCATGGCTTACACTTCCCTTTTTTTTTTTTTTTTAAGGAGAAAAAGAAGAACAGAAAAGGGGTACAAGTAATACAAAATTTAAAAAGTAAACAGTAAGAAATCACTAGTTAATAGATTACATATTCTCATCTTAGAAATAGTTGTTCAAGTTACAAATTTGAAGCATATAAAGTGGACTTTCAAATAGTGAGAGCGCAAACAGTTTTGTTCAATGATCCAAAAAACACTCAGTAATATGGTTATCTATCTTACACACTTAAACATATATGCAGTTATAACCTTTAGAGCACTTTCTTTTCTTTTCTTTTGTACAATGACAGTTACACATTTTGGGGTTTATTACTCCCACAGTTCTTATTACTTTTTTTGAAGAGAGTAAAACCAAATGCAACATATCAGAACAGAGTCAGTCAAATCAAAAGAATGGACATAATAGATAATGTAAAAATAAAATATAAGGTGATCAACAATGGTTGCCATACTGCCTCTTGCTATTTTAAGAAGAATTGCCAGTTATAATAAAATTGAACTAAACAGTAAAGAATAAAACCAAAGCATTGAGACATTACAGGATTTGAAAAGAAAACAATAGTCAACTGGAATGGGCGTCATAATGATTCTTATTGTCTTCACAGTTATGCCTATACTTTCAAACCTGGTGCTATCAAGCAAAGCAGAATAGAGGAAAATCAGTCAAAACAAGATGGTGAAGGCAATACAGGGTTTCAAATCAAGTTAATAGGAAATCAAAGTAGGTTACTATAATGTATCCTGCTATTTTTTATTTATTTTTCCCTTAATTAAAAAAAATTTTAAAGTAAATAATTTTTTTAAAAAGGGGGATTGAGATAAAAGAGGGCATAACAACAGAACAGTGCAGGTCAAAACATAACCATTTAAGCAAAATAGTGTTTCCCCACAAGATATCCTGACATAAAAATAGTTACCATAGTGTCTCTTTCCTTGAAATCTTTGAGTATAACTTCGTATACTGTAGCACCAAACATCAAGACACTATAAAACCATTCAAGAGAATGGTATTACAGGGTATTTAGAACCAATTAACAGAGGATGAACAATGGTTTCTGTATAAACTCCTTGTGTATAAAAGTTTTTGCTTATACTGCCATATATAATAAAATCCAATAAGATACAACCTTTTAAGACCAATGGAGACAGAAGAATACAAGTTTGATGGGACTTCAAAACAAGATGATACTAAATCAGCACTAGCTATTATGATGTCTTGTTTTCTCCAAAATAGCTGTTCCTACCATCCGATCTTCTCTGCCTCATTTCTGTTGAGCTCTTTATCTGTTGTTTCTTGTCAGTTTGTCTTCTTCATTTTGTTTTCTGCTCCATTCATCGTGGCCTCTCTGCCACCATTTCTGGAATCTTGGTATTTTCCTTTTTTAGACTATCCTGCAGAATTCTCTGTAGAGTTGAATTGGTGGTTGCAAATTCCCCTAGTTCCTCTTTATCCTGGAAACACCTTGTTTTTCCATCAATTTCTAGGGACACTTGTGCAGGATATATCAATCTTGGCTGGGCGTTATCTTTTAAAGCTTGAATTATTTCCCCCCACGCTCTTCGTTATTTGATGGTTTGTGTCGAGAAGTCTGCTGTAATTCTGATGGGTGTTCCTTTGTAAGTGATCTATTTCTTGTCTCTGATGGCTTTTAATATTCCGTTCTTATATTGGATTTCTGGAATTTTGATTATTATATGCCTGGGTGTAGCTCTGTTTGGGTTGTAGGTGGCTGGAGTCCTGTATGCCTCATATATCTGGGTATCTTTACCATTTACTAAATTAGAGAAATTCTCTTGGATTATTTCTGTGAATAGCTTTTGTAGTCCATTTGTTTGTGTCCCCACTTCTTTTGTGTTCTTAATTCTTAAGTTATAGATCCTCTTATCATCTTCTAGCTTTTGTATTGTTGCTGTTTGTTTTTTTGTTGTTGTTGTTATTTTTAAGAAGTTTTTCATTTCATGCTCCCATATTACAAATCTGTCCTCCAATTCAGATAATCTATCCTTAGTTTCTTTCAAGCTGTTATGCCAGTTTTCAATAGAGTTTTTAGTTTCCTGGTAATCTCTTTGAACCTGCTTCACGTATTCTATGTTTTCTCTATTTTCTCCATCAAACAATTCTCCCCTTTTTTTCTGTTCTTCCATTCCACTATCTGTTTTTTCTTGGGCGGTGCTTAGCATTTCTCTAACTATTCTGCTTATGTCTTGCTTCAGGTCATTAATAACTTCATTCCTGAACACGTCTATGAGGCTCTGGAGATAGTGCTTTATGTTTATTGGTGCTGTGTCTGCTATTGCATGTTTCTTAGGATTGGGGGCCGAGGACCCTTTCTTGTTGCTCCCTCTTCCCATATTCTTTGTTCCTTATATATAAGCATATATAGGAGGCCCAGCTTCCTTCCTTGTTGGCACAGTCTGTTTGAATTGCACCGGCTAGGTGTTCCCGCCCACCACAGCGCACCAGGGAGATACAGACCAGGCAGTCTATGCCGGGTCCACCCCTCCAGGTCAACCTACCAAAGGCTTCACTGCTGGGGTGCACCTCCAGGTGCTGGGACCTGGGTTGGGCTAGCCTACTGAGTCTTAGCCAGCGGCGTCACGCAGGCCAGGCACTCCCCACCAATCCCGCTTGAGAGTGGGATATGTGACTGAAGTCACTGCAGCATCTCATTCCAGGTAGTCTGCCCAATCCGAGTATGTCCTCCATTGAAGCCTCCTTCTCTATGGAAGGGTCCCCGATCCACTCACTCACCATAGGTCGATGCAGGGCACCCGGCCAGTCCCGCTCCCAACTCCATTCAATGCTTCCCACTCTCACAGCCTTCATGCCTCTCTCCCCACCGTATCGACCGGGACGTAGCAGCAGCTGCAGGAAATTCAAATCACAGCTTCCAGTGGCACAGGGTCCAGCTTCCGGGCTGAGACCTTATCTGTTCCTGCTGTATCACTGGGATTGCGTTTCCAGTTGGTTTCTCTTAATTTAGTTCATTCCTAGGTCAGCAAAGAATATCCCCCCATGCCTAGGACTTCCTGCCTGGCGCCATTCCTGGATTTCAAGTGCGGTTTCTCATAGAGCCTCCGAAGCTGCTACTATCTATCTGCCATGTTCTTCTGGAAGTCCTGTAATATATGTTTTAATTCTAAATGTGGGCTGTCTTATAGTAAGTTCATCAAATGTGGGGTTTATCTACATTTTTCTCAACAGATATTAATCTTAATAAAGAAAAGGCTGTCTTAGATTTGTTTTCTATCTTCCTTGTTCCTCTCATTTATAATGTAACTAATGCAAGAAACATAAATATTTCACATATTAACAGGGTATCATGGAAGGTGTCAGTATATGAGCAATATTTAAAGTAGGCTGCATACATTTACCTCGTTAAACATTTATTTCTTTGATGAAATACTCTTTAAGTTATTCCGCACAGGTTTGTACGGTGAGGAGTATATTTTCATTATGTATTCTCCCTCTGAGGTGCAGTAGCCCTCCAGAACACTATCAGGCATCATGATCAGTACTCACTGTAGGCTGTACCTTTAATATCACAAAAGACAATGATGGCCATATACCTGTTACCCACTGAAAACTATCTTTGTTGTTGTCTTTGATAAAAATACGTATTTTTCCACAATATTTCTGTACGAGAAAAAAATTGAGATGTATAAAAAATTTAGGCCTCTCAGGGCATGTCACATGCCAAAGGAATGGATTTGGGACCGAAACCATATATTAGTGACTTCTGAGATTATTGCATAAGACTGAGGTGCATGGTCTCTCAGTAGAACAGCTGTGTCTGCCTTTCTGTCCATCTGAATTCTATTTTCACTTTGCATCTCTGACTCCTGATTTGAAAGGTAGAAAAGAAGGTACAGAAACTAAACAGTAATTATGTGCAAAAATTAGGGTCATCTTGATTTCTCACCAGCCTCAAATTTGAAAACAGATGAACGCATCAAATTAATACATTCTAAAAACAGAGTAGATGATGAGATTAATATTCTATTGTGTCAAATTATTACTAAAACCAGTTTGATTCTATCATTAAACCTAACAGCCTTCATTTTCCATCCAGTTACAGTGAACCCAGAAATTCAGCATTCCTGATTTCTATGCGCCAAGCCTCGCTGGCCTGAGAATATCGTGCAACATGAAGATCGATGCATGACTTTGGAAAGGGAAAGATCACTGGTCCTTTCGTGTGTCTTGTTGCTCCCACTTTGAGAGATGAAATGGAGGTTCGGTGAAGGGGATTCTGTAGGGTGATGACTGTCTGGGAGAGGTGGAGAGCACAGTGCTGGTCTATGGGCTTGAGCAAGAACTGCCTCCTGCTGCTTCTCTCCACCAAGGGTTTTCTGTGACTGAAATCCTTTGGTGGATAGGAAAGAGGACCTAGGAAAGGGTCAAAAATATGAATAATTTAGCTTGAAATGCGAATTCTATAAAAGGGAATAGGATGTTTGTATTGCCCTTGTACAGGATCTATTTTATGTCTGAATAAAGCAGAATAAGGCTATGCCTTTCGTTATTACACAAACATATACTTTGCATCTTTACCAACCCTTCTGTGGGATGCTGAAATAAAGACAAGTCCATCATACAGGACATGGTTTTCTGCCTCCCTGTCTGTTTCCTCTTTCACTGGGGATCTTGTTTCTGTGTTCATTTCAAACTTAGCAAAATCCAGTTTCCCACTTCTCTCCAGTACAAGAAAAAAGGGCATTTCCTTGAAGCCATCTAGAAATGCTTTGGCCAGTCCTGTATGACTACAGGGATATAAACCACTTCCAAGCAGAGACATTTCATTGTAGATTCAGACTTGAGGATGTTTCTGTCTTCTGATCTATGGCTGCCACATTTTGCTGTGGTCGTGAATTGTTACTGTACCACACTCAGCACATGATTAGAAGGGATATAGGGGGAAAGTGTGTCAGAGGTGTTGCTGAGAGTGGTACAATTAAGGGCAGAGGCATTGAAGGGCAACATGATCAGCAAATGAAGTTCAATAAGAACATTATATTGTCCTCTTTCACATTTCTAAGAAAAAAACCCTATATTGATCATTTACTTAAAAGATAGGAAAAAGCAAAGCAAAAAATGAAACAGCGATTGAGAGAGTATTTAAGGGACAATCTAACACAAAAACATGTCATCCATGTTCCAGACCAGTTTGCTTTTATGAGAATAATAATATGATTTTTAGGGAAAAATGTAGAGGATTATTTCACCATTAGAAGGTAAAATAGTGACATGAAAAAGAAAACAACATGAGCTAGATAATTACAATGATAATTACAAGGTAGAAGTAAAACAGCATAAAGAATGAGGGGAGATCCTGGTTGTTGGTACTTTAACCTAACAGGTAGGAAAGATGCCTTGAGACAGGGAAATAGAATGAATTCCCAAACGATGTCAAGGAGGCAGGGTGTCGATGTAGACAGACTAGGGGGCTGCATTAGACACACAACAGCATTCCTAGCACACACATGGGGCAACTGTGTGACGTCTTGGAGACATGAACTGGACCCTCTGTGATGTGACAGTGTTCGTGTAATTGGTTATGTGCCTTCTTTCCTGAGAGGTGACTTGGAAAACCTACAAACTGACCCCTCTATTGATCTAAATGCAATTAAAATAGATTTGTTTTGGAAAAGTGCATATGTCTTTAAGAAAATTTAGATAAGTCTTGTTAATGAGATACAGAACACTTGCATTTTCCCATTCTCTTCTCTCAGACACACACATGTGCACAAAAAGTGATTATTAACTAGCCCATCAAAGCGGAAGAAGTTTCATTCCCTTTGGGTTTCAGTTTTGCATCTCCACAGCACACTTTCTAGTTCTGCTTCTACACTAAAACCTCTAGGAATGGTGGTGTCTGCTGGTTCAGTCACCAGTTATGGATAGGTTGTTTGGGCTGAATTTGGTAGTTTTTCTTTTATATTGACACTTGTAAATCTACTACTGTTTTGAATAGGAATAATCCATATTTTTATGCAATTAATGTATATTTCCTTAACATTACTCTGGCTGATAGGCAACAAATGGGAAGCAAAATATTGTGGTAAGGTGATCAGTTAGAACCTAGATACAAAGATTAAAAATAAATATTTCACACTTTACACTTTAAGGAACAAGAAAGAACTAATAAATTTATGCCCTGCTAAATTATCACAGAGATGAAGTTAGACTCTATGCTAAGATATAAAGTGTTTAAGTGAAAATCTAAAAGTCTCAAATACAAGATGTATTGTGAAAATAAAGTTTCACAATAAAACAAACCAGAAAAGTTGGAGATGAAGGGAAGAAAATGTATCAAATATAGATTAAAATATAGTTAACTTTGTTCTTAATATTACTGTTTGCATAAAAGCCAGAGTATATAAAAATATATATGAACTACATATATTAAATATGTATATATATGTGTGTGTATTTTATATGTAAATACATTAATATTAATATAATTAATAGTTTTTTAAAAATTTAATTAATAGTTAATAAATTCCTTTTCTAAGACCAGTGAACTCTACATTGTCACAAAGAGCTCAAGTAAGTATAGCATGCCTGAAAAATATCTGTGCTAAATGCACATAAGTTACTTCTAATAAAAGTCATTGTCTTAAAACACAAGGAACTTCCCACTTTAAACTTCAGCACAGAGGACAGGAGTGGCAAGGGTGCCCATCCCATTACTGTAAGCCAACGGAATCAGTCCCATCACAGTTCAGTGTGAATACCCTGCAGCCTTTCCATAGGCCCAACTATTTATGCTTAAGTTTTACATGGGCATCATCTCCCTGTCCTGTGGTTCTGCCCAGTCTCTTTCCTCCTCCAAGATGACTGGCAGCTTCCTTGTGAGCTCCTTCACTCTGGCAAGAACACACTTGTCTCTTTTTGAAATTCTAACCCTGCATATCTCCCTTTGTGGCATGAATCAGTTGTTCTCAACTCTACATTCACATTATAAAAGCTTCTAGAAAATAAAACCTAACTCTGCCCTATATATGGACAAAAATCTAACTCTGCCCTATAGTCAGGACACTTTAAGTCAGAAGCTTTGGGGATGAGACATAGACTTTTAAAGCTCCTCAGATGAATAGTCCCTTCCAGGAGAGTGGCTCAAGAGGTTTATTCCCAGGAAACACTAATATCTGCTCTATCACTAGTGGTATTCATGAGATGTATTCTTTTTTTTTTTTTTAATTTTATCTACCTATTGGGACTGGGAATCGCACTCATGACCTTCATTTGCCAGGCAGGCATTTGCACCACTGAGCTAAATCCCCTGCCCAATTTAATTTAAGTTTAAAGAGGAAAAACAAACAAAAACACAGATAAAAACAAGAAGCAAAAGAGACAACAACAACAAAAAAAACCCTAAATAACTATATAGGCTTTCAAAGCAAAATGATAGGAATTTAACAATGGGTGTTATTTTGTAGTTACCTTCAAAAGACTTGCTTAGATTACAGAATATAAACATGCAAAAATGATCTAATTCTATGAGTATTAAATGCTCTGTTCCAAGAACTAAAAATTACTAGTATAAACATCTTAGCTATCATATATATACAAATCTATATCTATTTTCTTTTCCTTTCCTTTTCTCCTTTTAACTATCCAAGTTATTTTTCCCCTTTGAGCAGTTTCTTATCTTTTCACAATATTTATTAAAAATTTTGGATCTTATTTACTCTTTGAATTGCTTACACTGGGGAGACAATATGGTGTTTACACATGTGAGTCTGATTTATTTCACTTACAGTCTCAAGTTGCATTCATTGGCCCATAAAAGCCTTGATGCAATCTTTCTTTATAGCTGAATAATATTCCACTGTATAAAAATACCACATCTTTTTTTATCCATTCCTCAGTTAATGGACATTTGGGTTGTTACCAATATTTGGCTATTATGAATTATGCTGCTATAAACATGGAAGCACATATATCACTGTGGTATGATGTTTTCAAATATTTGAGAACTATGTCCAGAAGTGGGATAGCTGGGTCAAATGGAACCTCTGGTCCTAGAATTTTAAGGAAACTCCAGACTGATTTCTATAGTGGTTGCACCTGTGTACATTCCCACCAACAATGAAATAGAGTTCCTTTTCCTCCCACAGTCTCACTAGCATTTGGTATTGGTTGATTTCTTTTTCCAGGACATTCTTTCTGGAGTGAGATGAAATCTGATTTGTTTTAATTTGAATTTCTCCAAAAACCAACATTGTGGAAGATTTTTCCATATATTTATTGAACATTTGGTATTTCTTCAGCTAAGAAGTGTGTATTCATCTCAGATGCCAATTTTGGAATAGGGTCTTTGAATTTTGGGGGCCTAATATTTTTTAATTCTTTATATGTTCTAGATATAAATCCTTTGTCTGAGGGAAAGTTGACTAAGATTTTTTTCCCAACTTGTGGCTTTCCTTTTCACTTTGTTGGAGATATAGTTTGACTTAGAAAAGTGTTTTAAGAAGATGAGATCTTAGTTGTTGATTCTGGGAAGTATTTCCCATGTAGTTTGAATTTTGTCCATGAACTTTTTACCTACCCCTATGTGTTCAAATTTCTACCTATTTTGTCTTCCAGTAGATGTAGTGTTTCTGTTTTAATATTTAGATCTTTGGTCCATTTTGACTTTAGTTTAGTGCATGGTGATAAGCATCGGTCTAGTTTTAGTTTTCAGCATACAGAAAGCTAGTTTCTTCAGCACCATTTATTAAAGAGACTGTCTTTCTTCCAGTGAACATGTTTGGCCCCTTTGTCAAAGATAAGGTGGCAGAGTGCATTTGTAATTATCGTTGTATTTTCTAATCTATTCCATTCATTTTCAGGTCTATTTTTATTCCATTACCATGCTGATTTTATCACAGTAACTTTTTAGTATAATTTCAAGACAGGGATGCCTCCTGCCTTGACTTTGTTGCTTGGGATTGCTTTTGTTATTCTGTGTTTCTTCTGGTTTCAGATGAATTTTAAGAATGATGTCTCTAGATCTGTACGTGTGCTGATAGTATTTTGATTGGGATTTCATTAAATCTATAACAAACATTTCATAATGTTTGTTATTCTTATCCATTAACGAGGAATGCCATTCCATTTTCTGCAATCTTCAATTTCTTTTTTCAGAGTACTGTAATTTTCACTGTATAAATCTTTTACTTCCTTTGTTAGATTGATTTGTAAGTATTTTTTCTTTTTTTGGATGCTACTGTGAAGGGTGTGGTTTCCCTTATTTCTCTCTCAGTAAGTTTGTTGTTTGTGTACAGGAATGCTATTGATTTTTGAGCGTTCACTTTGAATCTAGCTAGATTACTGAATTTGTTTATTACATCTAGAAGTCTTTCAATGAAGTTTTGGGGGTCTTCTAAGTAGAGTATTGTCTCATTTGTAAATAATGATAATTTAACTTCTTCCTTGCATATCCTTATTCCTCTTATCTAATTGCTCTGGCTAAAATTTCCAGCACCATATTGAATAGAAAGGATGATAGTAGTCCTCCTTGTATTGTCCCTGATTTAAGACTGAAAGTTTTCAACTGCTGACTATTTAGTTTGATGCTGGCTGTTGCTTTCTCATAGATGCCCTTTATCAGATTC